GGGACTCCAACCCATCCCACTTGAGTCCGCTCTTTACCACTGTGCTGTCTCCGCGGGGTAAAGTAGGAATACGAATACTTGTGGGGGTCAGAGAATATGCCTGAGGAACCTGGCAAGGGCAGGTATTGAAAAAGATGTTATCCCATCTAATGTGAACCAACACAGGTTTCGGAAACAAGGGAGAATGCCACAGAAAAAGAGTCTAAGGAAGATTAGACTTGTAAACCATGTTGGAATGGGCTGGGTCGCGGATTCAAGTGGGTGCCAGTCTGGTAGAACTTCTTCAGTCATCTACATGCCAAGACTGGTAATAACCAGTATCTGAAGGGAATTCACACTCTTCTATGGGAGAATAGAATGGCACAGCCGTCCTGGAGCTACCGGAATTACTCAGAGCAATCAGGTACACAGACCGCGGAGACGCTGCAGGTTCGGGGTGCAGACCACCGCCATCAAGCGAGTTCTCACAATATAGCGAGTTGTCAGCCTTTTGTTGGCGGAGAGTCTTGCCTTCAATTTGTAAAAAATGCAACATCTGTGAAGCACAAACAGCCGAGATGTGCCTGGACAGAGCAGTGGTTTTCGAGCTTGAGTGTGTGTCAGAACCACTGGGAGAAGCTACTGAAACTCTCTGACACAGTAGGTCTGGGCCCGAGAATTCACACTTCTAATGAATCCGGGCACTGCACTTGGAAAGCACTGCTTCAAGGCAAGTCTCATCGAGGTTCCCACACAGACAATTAAGATGATATTCATTACCGTATTAATTACGGTAGCAGCTGGAAACAACTTAGTCTTTGTGGGAACAGGTGATTAAAATGTGGTATATGTTCACGAAAGGAGACCATGCAGCAGTCTGGAACAATTGCTTACGTATTACAATGTGCATACATCTCACAACGATATTGATTGAAAAAAAGCAGAATGGGCAAGTATGTTATATCATCTCATTTAAATTCAACACACAAAACAATAAGAGATATTTTCAGATATATTCATATATATATGACTAAAGATAGGGCAGATCAGAAGATATACATTAAATATACGACAGTGGGTGCTACAAGGGGAACAGAATGAGACAGGGAGTGGAGAAGGAAAAGGGAAAGTTAAGTAGAACCAAAGAGGAGCCTTGCACAGACTGGTGAAGACAGTCTGATGTGAATGGGAGAGGGTCATGTACCCAATTTTGTGGACAATGTGAAGTCCTTGGGGAAAAAAAAAGATTAATATAACTTCGCAGTTTATAAGGAAGTTTGATAAGCAAGCTCTCATTTGATTCATGTGACTATGAGGCACTTAAAGCCAAGTGTAATGTCAGCTAACTGAAGATGCACAGGGGTCACTTGCTTAAGCACACGGGCCCGAGGTGCTGCCTTCAGCAAATATACACACTAACCNTGCCAACTTGGGCCAGTGAAGCAATGTCCTCCACAACTAGACTGAAGAACAAAACAACAGCAACTTGTCTGTTCCCCTTCCCCCAATTCCCCAGCACTCTTCCCATTCCCCAAAATCCCCAATAAAAATCTATAAAAAAAAATAAATAAAGAAAAGAAAATACAGACCAAAGGAGATTTGCACATTTTAGTTAAGAACTTTCCTCCAGGGCCAGCCGAGTGGCCTGTTGGTTAAAAGCTGGCTTGGGACACCAGCTCTAAGCAGCAGGGCCCTGGTTCAGATCCCACATTAGGGCCAGTGACACTGCACCCTCTACAGCTAAGATGATGAACAACAGCTCGATCTGGAGCTGGGGCTGCAGTGGGCTGCCATAAGCTACCGTGAGTGGCTGACAGCCAGTGTGAGCAGCCAGCAGCCAGTGTGAGCTGCCAAGAGCCACTGTGAGTGGCCATCCAATGCCCGGCAACCGATCTGCCTCACCCGGGAAGAGCGCAATGATAATACCAACATGGGGCAGTGAAGCGACGTGAAGCGACGTCCTCTACAACTAGACTGAACAACAAAAGGACAGCAACTTGTCTGTTCCCCTTCCCTGACTTCCAAAAGCTGTTCCCCTCCCCCAACTCCCCAATTAAAAACAAAAAAAAGAATTTCCCTCCAGCCTAGGTTAAGAGACATGCTTAACCTAGAGATGCTTAACCTTAGACATGTTCTGAGTTCTGTATTTCAGATGACCTCTTTACTTGATGGGAAGGCAGGAGTCATCCAAACAGCCAGCAACATCATCAGTCCTATCTAACAATGTGACAGCTGAGGGCTCAACAGTCCTGGAGGACACAAAAGGAACCCAGTGCAAAAGAGCGAGTGGAACCCTAAAAGTCATAATTGGCCCATTATTCACTCCCATAAAACTGACAAGGTAAGGACTGAAAACATTTTTTAAAAAGGAAAAAATAAATAAGGTTAATCTGACATACCGGAAAGTGTGACATCTGAAAATATAAGTGGTTGCAACTAAAAATTCAGAAATAAATCATCTTTTTTCCCTAGTTCCACTTCAGATTTTAATCTAAAACTAAAAATCATTCTTTTAAAACTCAGGGTCTTTAAAAGCGGAGCTGATTCACGTACAAAAGTGCAGGACAACCTGGCAATTATAGGGGATCCATGTTACAAAATGGGGACCATGAGAGCACATCAAAATCTAATCCTCACTCTCCTTGTCTGTACCACTCGGTTGTGCAACAAACCATTATCTTGTATGTGTTTTATCCTGAAAGCATCTTTTTGCCCAAGGATATGATCATTATGCTCTTGTCACACAGATGTCCACTATGCTACCTTTAAATACCCACTTACCCAGCAATGTTCTGTATAGAGACACTTTTGGAGAGTGAGACGCTTTGCTGAGAACGTCTATTAGCAAACATGGGGGCGACGGGGATTTCATCAGCCAGGAGCACTGCAGATCGGGGGCGCTCCTTGGGCTGCGAGGCTGTAAAGGAAGAGAGGACACCAATAAGCATCACCGCCCATGCCCACCTGCACCGACTCATCTGACAAATGCCAACGAGAAGCAAACTGCTTTCGACGAGATTTGGCCCAAGCCCATAAATGGTTACAAAAATTCTATGGAAGACAATTTGGCAACACTTACTGACATTGTAAATGCCTCTACCCTTTAATTTAGTAATTCCATTTTTAGAATACATTTACTCCATAAGATATATTTGTATCTGTTTGAAATGACACAGGTCCAAAGTTATTCAATGCAACATTGTTGATGAAAGCAAAAGATTGAAAACAACACAAATAAACATCAAAGGAAGACCAATTAATACCATGAAGTTTTAAAAAAAAGGAGAACACTCTCCATCAACTGAAACAGATCTCTATAAGATAATATATTAAGGGGGAAAAAATCAAGGGGTAGAAAATAAAGGGCACAACAGACTATCCTTCACATNCTATATTAAACAAACAAACACAAATATCTATGTACTGTGCACATAAGGAATGCAAAATGTGTTCTAACTTCCACTTGTCGCAAACATAGTAATAAAACAGGGAGACTCACTAGAAGTTTTTCATGAGATAGTCGGTCTTAAAAATGTCGCTGTGTTAAGTCAGAAGGGCATGAGAAACAGCCATCTTTACCTAAGGACCAGGTTATCTTCCTGGCTCAGGCCAGCAACCCTAACAATCGTGCACGGCCCTTCAATCATTCCCAAACGCCTGTAATGCCAGCGGTTCACCTGCAGATATGTTCACAGTGGGGTACGCAGATGAGTGGCTGCGTGGAGTTCATGACACACACCGAGCATCCATTTGCCACTGCACTAAAAATCTCTGGAGGCAACACAGGCCGATCCTTCCCAAACAACTGGAAAAAAAGGTTCTGGGTAGCTTTTCCTTTTCCCCTTTACCCACAGGAAAGCTGAGGCCGAGAGGCTTTAAGTGACCTGTTCCCGTCATAAAGCACGTGCCCGAAAAGGGAGATTCCAGCATCGGCACACCATGGGGCTGAGGTATGAATCCCACCATCAAAGAACTTGCTAGAAGATGGGCACATACGCAAGGAGCTACAAACACCACAAGTCAAGGTTTGGTGAGGTTCCCCGTGCAGGTCTGAGGGCAGAGGACGGACGCGGAAAATGCTGGGAGAGGGGCTGTTTGGGGCAGAAAGGTCCCCACCTGGACAGCAGACCACTCCCACTCTGGGGCCCTGACTATGTGTTAAAGCATCTACCATACTATATTTGCATTTATTTGTAACATGCCTGTTTTTACTTCCAGAACATGAGCTTCATGAGGCAGAGGTCGAAGGCATATCCATCTTGGTGGTTCTACCTGGCATTTAGAAGATGCCCAGTGAATACTTGAAAAATGAATGAATGAATGAGGTGAGCCGTACAGGCTCAAGAATACAAGGAAAGGACAAAATTCCCAATTATCAGGCAAATGTTCCAGCCATTAAACCTCTGCTTCTACACTGAGGCAGAGATTTTCTGGGGAAAGAGCTAGTCAGATGTGATGTTATGTCCCTCTGCCCGGTAAGGTTATATGAGCAACATTAAAAAAAAAAAATTATGAAAAGAAATATTAAAAGCTGTGACAAAAACATCTAAAAGTATCAAAATAATTGTTAGCCAAATTATTTGTGGAGTAGAACTGAAACCATATCACTCCTTGATGAAAATATCAGTAAGACACATTTGATGAACTATTTTATAGATCGTTTCTTATTCAATTTTCTATGCTCAGACGGTTTTCAGATAAATGAGTTCCTTTTGATTTGAGGCAGAAGGGGAAGTTGCGACTTCCAACATATATTTTCTGATTTCTTAAACGACAGTGTTTCTGATGGTATAGACTCTGAGGAAGAAAAACGGACTTTTACTGAATATTTACCATATATGCCAGGTATATTATATGAACATTCCTTTTCACTTTTAAAAATCCTATTAGGAGAGAAAATCTGCTGTCCTCATTTACAGAAAAGGAAACCGAGGCCCAGAGAGATCGAACCACCTGCCTAAGCGTCCCAACACAGGAAGTGGGACACACAGTGTGAACGCGCCACTCCTGTCCCCACTCACCTGGTTTACAAGCACGTCCCCTATCCTTTTGATGAGGAAGTTCTTTTCGCTTTTATCCACCAGCGATTCCTTTTTCCGCTCCAGGATCCTCTGAAAGAACTGGCTGTGGATGCTGATCAGCTCGTCCAAACAGGGGAACAGCTTTTCCACCATCTGCTGCTCGAAGAGCAGGTCCGTCATCATCCCCCGGCTGTACACGTCGCTCATGATTTTGAGCGTGCGGACGTGGTGGAGCTCCGTCTGCATCAGCTCTGAGGGGATAAGGCTGAGGGTCAGGGACGCTCGGGCACAAGGACCCTCCCCCAGCTCATCTGCTGCCGTCACAAGCCCATCGGCTGGAAGGCTGCTGGGCCCACGCATGATGCCCAGTTTAAACAGCTATTTTTTCCCTAAAGCGTTTTCATCTTTTTCCTCTATTTTTCATGTGACCTACTCGTATGACAGGCCTAGTGGGGTCCATCACTCTTGGTGGTTTCCAAATTGGTCTTCATTGGAATCCAAACCTTTCATGATTTACTGTGTTTCCTATTTCCTAGAATTGACTTGTGCTTCATGTCTAGTTCCTAGTGTAGTAGAGGAATTCAACTGCACTGTTACAAGAGATCTCACTGAAGGTCTACTGCCTGAGTAAGTACTCCATATGAAGCAAAATGTCCAATAAAATTAAAGAAAATATTTTTAAAGAGACAGAAAAAGACAGAAATAAGATCATGTCTCTATACCTCGAAAGCTTTAAAGGAAATCTTTGAGACACTACACACTTGACCGTTGACCTTCCACCCCAGTAAACCACCCGATAAAACATGAGGGACGATGTACATCAAACGCTGGCAGAGCGAAGGAAGACTCTCACCATAGATCACTTCTTGCCGCTTGACCACATCTTTCTTCTGCTGTTTCAGGAACTTGCTGTCTACTACTCGACTCCAGGACTCTGCTTCCAGCTGTCTGGATTCCACCTCAAAGTCTCCCATTAGCTGTCCTTCATTCATGTCTGTACCTACTCCTCAAAATATCAAAAAACCAATATCAGGATCTTGGGTCTCTGACCTCTGAGAAGCCTACACTGGGCTTTCCTCGGGGTGATAATTTCCTAAGACACAAACGCTGCGCATTAATACAGGAGATATTCATAGAACCATATTCCAGGACGAGAAAAGAATCATTTTCGGTTTAGGAGTGACACGGTCTGCATTCAAGGCTTTGGCTAAGAGTGATAACCATCACATACATCAAACATGATGAAGACATGATTCCTGCGTGAAGTAGGAACTGCAAAGGACCTGGTAACTTTACTTGTTAAGAGAGTAGGCTTATAACTGCCGAGAGAGCTAGAACTGAATGCATACAAAAGTCGAGGGGGAGAAAAAGCAGTTGTGCTACAGTATGGCCACATTAAAATCACAGGTATCTTTTCAATGGGCAACTGTCTAACAACTAGATAAGTCTGAATACCAACGTATTATAAAGCATTTGATGCTTTACAGACAATTTAGAGAACCTTTACAGGAGCACGGAAGAGGCAGGCGCTATTACTCCACAGACGCTTGTATTCTAGCTAATGGCACA